AACGATATCAGGTTATCGTTGCACCCTCCCTAAAATCTGTACCCAGGATAATGAATAAAATATCCCTTGGATCAGTTGTATGGAATTTTTTATCTCGGCATTTTCCTGCAACCTGGGCAAAGAGTATAATATTTATGTCGGTACTATTTATGGGGAAGTATTTTGGGAATTATCATTCGAGGTTTTGCGACGCTTGGAAATATTCTTCGTGTCCATCCTTATGACGATGCAACCGCTAGTGCATTACTTCGGAGCGATGGCGCATCCTTCGGGAGAGGGGCAAGGATCGGGAGTCCAAGGAGCTACTCTTTCTCCCTTACTTTCTTCCCGTTCCTTCGTCCCGACATATCCTCGGTGAGCAGTCGTGGCTCGCTGCCGTTGTAATAACCCCCGTAGATCATACCCGCGCATACACGGCCGCCAGTGCACCCGTGTATGCACTCGCGTGCACCCGCGTGCACCCATACCCTCCGAGGCCGCGTTATTCATTCACGGCGCGAGCAAGAGCGCACGACCGCGCTGCACACGATTTTGACTTTTAGAAGGGTTAGAACCTCGTATATTAGTCTCACCGACACGATTGCCGCTTAACAGTAGACGGCCGTATACGTTCCTGGAACTTTCCGATCCTGAAAGCCTCGCCTTAATAAAAGAAATAAAAAAAAGAAAAGTGAGGAGAAAAACAAGAAGATCACACCCCAATTTTCCTGATTTTCTCGATTAACGGAGTTATTCCCTAGAATATCAAAATTTTTGATCGATTGAAAGCCCCCCGACTCTATCGACCCCATTTTCAGATTTTTTTCCTTTATCAAATTATAACCAGATTTATTTTCCCAAAGATAATATTCTCCTTTCCGTAAACTTACCATTAGAAATGAATATATGACGTGTCGTAGGATGCTTCAGACAATAGAAGCAAGGGGAAAAGTTTTTCACTTCTTCGTTAAAAAAAAAAAGAGAAAACGGTGTTTTTTTTTTCTTTCAGAATTTCAAATCGAAATTAGATTTTCATCACAGGAATTAGATGTATTGAATTTTCGAAGAGGAGAGAAGGATATAGTATTCCTTCCAGTTCTGGTCTTCCAGGGCCGTTCGCTCGCCCCATCTCCTCGCATCGCGCACCGGCTCGCGATTTACGGGCTTGTCACGCTAACACGACGCCCGGTGAGAAAACTGTCTCGAAGTTCGATGTATCGCCCCGGACGGGCCGACTTCGCATCGGGGGCGCGTAATTTACGTCCCGACGAGGATTCTTTCGCGGGAGTACAAGTGACTTCACCCTTTATCCGAGCCGGAGCACGCGACTTTACTGCGTGTGCGCGGGGTGCAGCGATTTACGAGCCTCGCGATGGCCGATTCGCTCCTGGCCTCTGTCAAGGGTTCAAGTAGACGAGGACAATAGAGAATCCCCTCCCGAGGACGGAAAAAGTCAAATTTTTTAAGCCCTTCCCTCAGGCAAAATGGACACGACAATGAAAAATCGACAAGACGGGTTAATTTCCATCCCTAACCCCTTGATTAGGATTTAATGACGAGAATCTGGCAATAATGTACCATTTAATTTCAGGTAGCCCCTGCATATTATAATGTCGCAAACAATGAAAAATTGACTTTCCACCCTTAACCCCTTGCGCTTGGATTTAATGACGAAAAATCAGGGATAAAGGGAATTGTCGCGGTTGGCCATTGGAACCTCATAATGAGTCTAGCTCGTCATTGTAAGGGGTTAAGATGTTCCTTTTTTTTTTATCCCCACCATTGTTGGGCACAGTTTGGACGCTTTAATTTCCAGCAACCGATTCGCGTCGATGGGGCAGGATGCGTTCGTTTCGTGCGGTCTCCATCTTGCAGAAGGCGATTTACGAGGAGACGATTGGCGACATTGTCGGAGGTTTGTCGGAGGAGCGTTGCGTTACGACTACCGGCTCGGGACCATTACCATCGGCCGTATGACGCCGCGATCGGAGATACAAAGAGTGGGCGAAGGTACAAAGGGTGGTCGCCCGTGGGGATCGCGTCGGCCCGATTGTGGCGGGAGGAGAAAGCGATGGCCGAGGGCAGCTGCTTCGACTAGAGCCGTTTTACGAGGGACTTTCCTCCCGGCCTCCCAAGTGTCTGACTTACGACCGCCACGGGTGCGCTCCTTGGAGGAGCCACCCTCTGATTGCAGGTGGTCAAGACTGGATCTTCTTGAAAATGGGAACCGAGGAGACAAGCTTCTTATATTGGATTAATCAAGGAATTTTTTTTTATAATTTTAGTGGATTAAATTGAGGAGCCACCCTCTGATCGCAGGTGGTCAAGACGGGATCTTCTTGAAAATGGGAACCAAGGAAACAAGCTTCTTATATTGGATTAATCAAGGAATTTTTTTTTATAATTTTAGTGAATTAAATTGAGGAGCCACCCTTTGATCGCAGGTGGTCANTTCCATACCAGAATAATCGTCAAGGAATTTTTTAGATAATTTTAATACGATAAGTCATGCTTCATACCTGGTATGATCGTGGTCCCATGTACTCCCGATGACGCAGGCGATCCAGGACACTCGAAATTAGACCTATCTAAACCAACGATTGCAATTGTAAATCCCGTTTCTTTTTAAAATTCAACGTCTTAATGAAATATTGCCCTCGTTCCCTCCGGCGATTGCCCCTGGCCCGGGTCGTCAAAAAGGTCCGCATCGGCGGTGCAACTTAATCGGCGCATTTCGGAGCACTTTCTTCGGGGGTTTAAGAGAAACGTCAGTCGCGCGAAGGGCCGATTCGTCCCTGTCAAATTATCCCACGGCGATCGACGTCGGCCCGATTAATTCGGCCTCGGCGATTAATTCGGTACTCGGGTAAGGGCACCTTCGCCGAAGGTTGCACGCACCTTCCGCAGGTACTCTCGCGAGTTGCACGCGATTCGCGCGAGCTCTGGAAGATCGATGCCAGGGCGCAAAGCCGGACTCTTTGTTCGTACCTCCCGATATATACCAGGACGCGTGTATAAGTTGCCGAAATTAAAACGCGCCTCGTCGCGTTATTAATACGACGCTGCCATGAAACCCGTTCCTCCCGAGCGGCGAGTTTAAAAAAAATGCCCACGGAGCACGTATGCCCGAAATCCGGACCTGGAGCCAGGACTCGATTAAAAGTCGAAGAAAGATCCCAGGGGATAATTGGATAAACATTGGGATCATCGGGTGTAGAGGTGAGAACTCGGAGTTCGTGACCGACGTGCAAAAAAAACTGACCTTCTGATATCTCGATATGGAACCTCAGCTAAATACGAGAGAAACCTTAACTCTCTGTAATGATCGAAAACCCGCTTAACCACCCTTAATCGGTCCATTTTCCATTTTCCCTATACCGAGAAGAACTGTCAACGAACGACAAAAACATCCCTTTGAATACCATCAAAGGAACATTTCGTCGACTCAGAAAATAATTACTTCCGATAAATTGGAATAAATAGACGGCAACATTTTCCCCGGAATTAGGACAATTTTGGTGAAAATCATGGAATTAACAAAATATTTCTTCGCTCCGATGACATTTCCTTCTCGGTGCAGGTCCTCTGACGTCAGCCGATCAGCTGATCCAGAGACCGCTCGACATTCTCGCCGCGACGTTTCCTCACCTAGTCTCGGTATCAACGATATATATATTCTTTCTTTTCCCCCTTTTTCAAGAAACGCAAACAAGATCAAGGATCTCGGCCTGGTCCAGATCGATCGTTCACGAAGCATCCCCGTGATCGGCGTCGGAGACGGCGAGGTAAAAGGAGGAGTCAAAAGTCATCGATCACGGGGCAATCAGGAAAATCTAAAACACCTTGGTCCACGGCTATCTCCAGTGATCTCCTCGTCAAGGGCGTGTCATCCCGGTCGCGCACCCCTTTCGTCCACCCACGAGAAGGATTCCAGTTCGCGCGTCCGCAGGAATAAAATGATCCGGAATGCGGGGGAGGGAAAGGGAGGGAGGGAGCGCAGCCTCCCCGAAAATAATCTGACGAATACATCTGGATAAATCGAGCAATAAACCGTTACTGTCCCGGCGGATGCCCTCGAGATAGGATCTCCTTCTGGCCCGTCTCCCACGGCTCCGAAGCGTCTTGGCGCCGATCCCCAGGAGTAGTCCACCTAAACGTCTAATATGCCGTCTTTTTGCTCCCTCCCTCCCCCCCGAAATACTGACACACTACCCGAGCATATCGAGAAATTATAGTAATGGCGGCGAGGTTTGACCCGCTGCTTTTTAATGGGAATATATGCCCAGGCTCGCGGCTCAACTTTGGGTAACGATTTTTTGCCGTTGTCCTTTGATCGCATTGTGTTTCTTTTTCTACACCCCTACACATCTATTAGATCTACCTGCGATAAGGAATTATTGCCACGGGGATGGGTCGCGTCTCTAGGATTTTATTTAGGCAGATCCTGCCACGCGTTTAAATCTTGATTGTCGAAGGTCCTTTGTGTAAGAGCGGAAGGAAAAATCCAGTCCCCTTGCGGGTTCGATAGCTCGAAATACGCCGATTGACGTATCGAATATATTGATCTATCGTTTCGTTTATTTATTTATTTATTTATTTACCGCGGGAGGTAAGGCACCCTTGGGATTCCACTCCCGAGACTTTTGCTCGGCCCTGTACGAAATCGAAAGAGGGATCCTGGAACGAGTCCTGGGACTCGAGGGGGGCGCTTAAACGCGGTATTTATTATTTATCGACGAGACGTAATCTGCGGAACGGAATCGAGAGTCCTGCGGACGTTTTTCTGAGGGACGCGATTCGCCGTCCCGAAAGCACGGGCCTTTCTTGTAGCAGTTTATTATCTCGCTCGTTCATAAATTCCGCGAGGAAAATAAAATATTCCCCGCATCCTTCGTCCCTTTACCCCCGGGGGCCGAGGGTCCTTCGTTTAAAGGGGCTCGATGAAAATATCCGCGAGAAAGGACTCGCGAGGTCCTTCGAGGGACGTTTCGGCGTAATCATGACTAGTCTTCACTTCGCATCGTCAATATATTTTTTCCGTATCTCTGCAAAAAAACAATCGTTATAGTATATGGTACACCGTGCGGAGGGCCTCCGTTCGTTCCTTCGTCTCTGCGACCTAAGCAATGTACACAACAGAAATAATAATTAATACAATAATGTTACTTATACCAAGGACTCTTTCTCACCCTCGCATTCTCTCATGTATTCGGTATCACGCACTCATGCACTCGCAGTTACGATATTTCACCTCCTAGCTCACTCTCCATATGTACAGGATATCACACAATAAGATCGCGGTACATATCTTACACTGAACACTTATCTTAGGCTTTCTCTCCCGCGCAAATATGAATTTCTCATGCATTCCCCGGGTCGCGATAATCGTATCCGCGACTCCTATTTACAGTCCCGCGGTCGGCGAAAATCCTGCGGAATTTCTTTTCCGCTCGATAACGGGCTGACAGAAAGGCTCGAGTCGGACCAATATGGTCTCACGCTTCGCTCGCCTCTGGCGACGTCACATCCTGTCAAGATCCCGGGAGAACGTCCTCGAGAGTCATGGAGAAATGATCCTCCGATTCGGGTCAGTTTCATACGGAAGAAAGAAAAACGAAAGAAAGTCTTTCATTCCAGGAATCTTGCCGCCAGCCGATGGGAGAAAGAACTGAAATTATGGGGACTCCTCGCAGGACGTTATCCTGGCACTCTCTTCGAGGATGTCCTCGAGGGGTCGTGACGCACCTGGAAGACGTCGTTAGGAATCTCTCGTCCACGAGGACGTCTTCGAGGAGCGTTTTCCCCCGTCGACGACGTTTCCAGGAATCGGGCGCGGGTGGACGCATCGAGTAGCTCGACGCACCGCGCGCTCGCAAAGAAACGCGGAGGAACAATATTCCGCGAGTGGACGCATAGATTTCCGCGTTGCGGAATATCGAACGTCACCTCCCTTCGGCGTTTTGAGGCACAAACGTGGCTGAACTTGTACATCCGTTCCTGCTATCCGTCGTTCTCCTCGTGGTCCGGCGCTCGGTTTTCGGATTGCGACCCTCCAGATTTCTCGTCCCCCTTGGGGCCCCATAAGGTCGAGGACGAGGTCCCCCGGAATTCCTGGAATGCCTCGCATCGCCGGGATTCCTTCGCCCCACGGATAAACGATCGGGTCGGGACGAATCGACGAGCTTATCTCCAGATCTGATCACGTCCCCCGACATCTAATTATTTGTCCTACAGGAGCGACTCTAATTCCCGTGTTCCAAGCTCAGGGATAATTAGTCGAGGCCGAGTGGTCATTAGCATCCAGGAGGAGGGAGAAGTCCTGGGAGAGACGTCCCGACGGGATCATTGGCAAGGGTTCCAGGTGATTCGACTTCGCACCATTACATCCCGCTGGACACTGGTGTGGTCATCGGCTCCAGTTTTGGGACTCCTGGGTGTCCCGTTTCTTGCTGTCCAGGTCTTGAAATTCCTGACCCACCGCAACACCGTCACCATCACCGTCAACCTAGGGTTGCTACTGCCTAATACCGCTGATGATAACTTTCTATAACCTGCTGATGATGAATTTCTTTCCAGCGCCGATGATGACTTTCTTCTGGTGCCCACATCGTTCCATGCAATGCCGATGAAGATGCCTCTCCAGGTGTCGATGCCGATGATTCCCTCGATTCTGCCATTCCCTCCCCCGGCGCAACATCCGACCTACCCCCGTGCACCTACCAGGACCATCCCTTGGTCCCGATCACTCGTGGTCGCTCCTCAGGACCGAGTCCAACACTTCCGGCCACCTCTCAGTCGCGAGCCATGGTTAATACGCCGTAGCCTGATGGTGCATGAGGGGGTTGAAGTGGTGGCCCAGGTGATGGGGTGGTGGTGGACCAGGCAACGGGCTGTGCTGGGACCCCACGGCAGGGGGTTGGCACACGTACCACTCGGTGAGCTCCGGCCCTCTGCTGGGAGGGTGACTCGTCCCCTGATTGGTGGAGGCTCCGCTGGAAGAGACAACCGCCGAAGCCGGCTGGGGAGACTCGTTGTGTCCCGTCACCGAGAGACTTCCCCCGCTGCTGCTGCTCTCCTCTCCCTCGCTCTCGTACCCGCCCCCCAGCTTACCCTCGCCCAACGTCATCCCGTGCACCTGCAACAATGGTAATCAAAGATATGGTCAGAGAATGGCTGTCGGAGGGCAGTGACGAAAAAAGGAACGGTGACACGGCCATGCATGTAGTATAGAGACTCGGCGCCAGTCGCGGCGCGACTCTCTCGTGTACTTGCTCGAGACGCTGCCGCGTCTCTTGCATTTCTACGTTTCTAACGTTCCCCCGGAGCCAATAGATTTCGCCAAGGAACCCAGGGACAAGGTATAAGGGAATTCCACGTGTTAGACATCGAGACCTACTCGCGCCCTGCTGGGTTTACACGGAAAAAGGACATGTTTCCTCGAGGTGTAGCGTCACCGGCAAGTTTAAGGGCTGCTATAATTTGTCCCCCGTTGACGAGCAGTCGCGACTTTGCGGCAGGTTGAATTTATCGCCGTCGTTGGCCTCGGCTTTACCGTCCAATTTTACAGGTGGTCCTGGGATATATCGCCCGCGATTATTTAATCTCTAGTCCTCGACCCGGCTCGGAATTCTTCCTTTCGATATAGGCTTCGCTATTTCTCGAAATCGAGGCCGAGGGGTCCTCGAAACCGGTGCGTCGGGGACCTCGTTTCCAAGGACGAGGGCGTCCTCCCTCCCGGGTGGAGGCGCCTGGCCAAGACGCGTAAATAACCCGCAGTGGTGGATCTTTTTCCAGCGGTCGGTCCAGTTCATAAGTCAGCGGGCGAAATCACCGGCGACTGGCTTCCGCGAAGCAGCAAAGGCGCTACCGCGACCGGGATAGGCGGGATAGGCGGGATAGGCGGGATAACCGGGACCTGCCCGACAATCCTATCGGCCATACGTATCTCCGGGAGGCAGGGGTTTTGCTCCTGCTGTACGCGCCGAGACGCACAGGTAATTTCCTATTAAGATTCCGTGCTCGGTCGCGCGTAAACCCTCTTCCCAGACCGGGCCCTCCTTTTCTTCTTCTTCCTCTTCTTTTTTTTTTTTTTTTTCGCGTCCCGCGACCCGGAGACGGACTCTCCGTGCCACTTTGACGTCCGGGAAAAGAGACGACCGCCAGGATCAACGTCGGACAGGACCCGCGTTTCGGAGAGAGCCCATCTTCGGGGAACTCCCGGATCCTGGGAGGGAGCCGAAAAATCTACTCTCCTCCCCGATTGGCTGGAGAAGGAAGAACCACTCGGTAGCAGGGAATCTGGATACGGTGCCGTGACAAGACTCCCATAAATAAGGAATTCCTCTCGTCCATGAAACATTTCTTTCAATAGTACCGAACAAATGCCCCCGTCCCTCAATTTACGCGAACAATAATCCCGTCGCGTAAAGTCAATTGGTACGAAAGAAAAAAAATTAAGAAAAAAAAAAAAAAAGAAAATACTGGAAATGAAAACCGCGTAAATTGAGGGTGTATTTCATTTGAATGAATTATTCCTTTAATCGAGGAAAGTATTCCTTTGGTACCGTTCGATGAAATATTTCTCTGGCTCTCGACCGTTATTTTTCCTTTTTCCTTCTTTCAGAGCTGCTTTCGGAATCTGGTAGAAGTCCACGAAGAGAGGTGGTCGTTACCTTCATGTGTTTGCGCAGCGAGCTCGGATGGGTGTAGGACTTGTCGCATCCGGAGACGCGGCAATTGTAAGGCTTGTCGGACGTGTGGACGTGGCTGTGCTTTTTGCGATCGCTGCTGTTGGCGAACCGCCTCTCGCAGCCGGAGTACTCGCACTTGAACGGCTTTTCGCCTGGAAAAGAAATCGAAGGAGTCTAATTAAAGTCGGATCGAGTCGACGCACATATCCCGGCTGATACGTAGAACGGAGCGACGTCAAGAAGGGAATACAAATACGGGAATTACCAGCCAATTCGGCACCCTGCATATGTAAAATAAAAAAATTCCCCGGCTTGCGATTAAATTGACAAAGCCTAGTTTCGCATTCTCGGGGCAGTTTGGGAGGATCGATTTTCTCTTTCTTTCGGGTAAAACGGGGAGGGATCGAGAGTTGGAATATTCCCTCTCGGAGATGTGGGAAAGAGCGATGCGCGTTTCTTTGTCAGTGGACCAGAGATGATCTGGATCTAGATTTGGTATCTTCTTTGAGGAGACCCGGAGCTCCCTTGGCTCGGCTCGCGAAAAACCGAGCGGGGAGATAAAGTCCCCGTAGAAAATGGCCGGGCGCGAGGCCGTGGCGTGACTTTATTTATTTCCACCGGAAGTTGACTGGAATATATATTTTACCACCGGCACCCTCGTCCCGTCTCTGCCTCCGTTTCCCCCGGCGCCCTCCTGGCACTCCTCTCGAGGAGCGACGCGAAACGGAAGCGCGAACTTGGCGGATTTTTTATGCCCCTCCGGAGGGTGGACGAGTTGTTACGAAAGGGCCGAGGGAAACTTGGGAATCTCTAAATTCCTCAAAAGCCTGCCCTCGCCGAGATAAAACTCTCCCAGCACTCCAAATTCAGCATATCCATAAAAAAAATTAAAAAACGACATTAAAAATAAATATAAAAACAAAAAATGCATGTATTTGAACAAAAAAATCACTCCTCGCGACCCCGAATAAAAACCAAGGAATTAATACGGAAAAATCAGGCCAGGTCAAGGCAGACCCGCCTACTCATCCTTATCACCGGTCGCGGGTGTTATCACACCTCCACGTGTTACCCCTCGCTCCCCACGAGAGGAGTTATTCATCCCACGTGCTAAAAGTGCGATAACACGGCGGTACCTGTCGGACATATCGTCCCGACAGAGATTATATTCAAATCAAGGGGGTCGTAAAAAATAGGGGGGGGAGGATATAAATATTTATGAGGCCTCGGAGACAGTCTCTCAAGGTGGAGCCGCCTCGAAGAGGAGATCTCGATTTCCCGGCCTGGTTTTCCTCCTCCAGGGCGGTCGATGAGAGAGGCAAATGGCGGCAAAAGGACCGAGGAAAGAGGAGGGAGGCTGGAGAGAAGGAAAGAGCATCGATCTTCCGGCTCTAACGAGACAATTAATAACTTTTCAGATCTGTCCCCGGCAGGCCTCTTTCGCCCGGTAGCGCGAGTCGGCAAATAAATAGCGGATAAATAAAAGCGTCTCCGCGTTCTATTCTGTCGCATGGGGTTGCGTGTGCAGATGGCAACAATATGCCGTGAAATATTGCCCACGGTGTGCCCCCCGTGTCCGTGTGTGCGGCACACGGACGGGACAACCGTGTGTCGAGCGCGTCGACGCGGAGTGGGATGCTGGATCCGCGTGGTCCAGGTCGTGAGGGGTCCCTTGTGTGTGGTGTCCATGGTTTATACCGTTTATATCGTCCCTGTGGTGTGTGTGCCCGTGCTAGAGTCGGGTCCCTGCAGTCGCCACGGTGCATCTCGACTGTGTGGTGTTATGCACTGGGCCGGCAGTATACCCGGTGTTATGACTTTCAGAATGGGGAGCACAATGGGTCAGATCCGCGCGGGATAAAATAGTTATTATAATCGTTTTGGCCCCGAGCTCGGAGGATAAGGTATAGGAGAGATGGGAGAGATCGTGTGCGAGGTGGACCGCGCGTGCGGATGGATATTCGGGTGTGGGTGTGGGGATGGATGTTTAGCGCGGGGGTGGGGATGCATATTTACGAACCCGGGGGTGGGGACGGATATTTAGGTGCGGGTGTGGGCATGAACATGGACATGGACATGGGCATGGACGCGGACATGCACTCGCGGTGTGCGTGCCCAACGTGAATCGGCAGCCTCCAAATAGAAGATAATGCACAAATGGCTGGATAAGAAAAAAATGCCGATCGCAATCGAGCGACGGAGGAAACCGGGAGGACCTCCTCGCGACTCCTAAAAGAGCACTCTCGAAAGGTGAAAAGAATTTCAAAACGCTCACGTACAAGAAACGACTTAATTCCTTGATAAATCCTATTCCAGGAGGTCATTTCTGGAATACCGAGCGGAGAGTCCTTTCTATCCTAACCTCGAAAAGTGCCTCGACGGTTCCTGGACCGACTCCCGACGTCTCGAAAAATTGTCAGGGTATGTCCAGCAGGAAACTGGTATTTCGCAGGAAAAGCACACTTTTTTTTCAGGCAGAAAAAAATGCCAAAAGACATTCCAGGGCGTCATTCCACGAAGAAGCGAGGACCTGGGTCCTCTTACGCGGAAGAGACGCCGGGGCGCAACTGGTCCTGGCAAAGGTCTTCGGAAAATCGGTTTAGGGCCCGAAACGATCCTCCAGGTCTCCGGAGAGGAAGATGCCGACCCGGAGAACGTCTCCTCTCGTGGCCTCCTCCTCTCTCTCTCTCTCGGGCTCATTCAACAGTTTTTGGAAAAGCTCCCGGGTGATATATGGCCGTCCGCCATTGTCCCGGGTACGGGCCGGCCTCGGGCCTCGAGGATATAATGGATGATTTTTCGCGTCCATTGTTACCACGTGGGACAACCAGTCGGGCCACCAGACATTGTTGCGAACCTGGGCCGAAATAGCAACCCCTCTGGCCGTCCCTCCCTCGTGGCAGACCCGAGGTCCTTCGAGCCTCCTCGAGTGGATGATTTTCTTGTTATTCCTTCGCCATTAGGGCAGGACCATCCCGAGTGCGATCAAACGTGCGATATTAATACTCCGGTTGCCTCCAAGAGGTAGAAAAGGCATCTCCCCATCAAACACCGTGAACCATGGCTATTTGTTTCTCGTTCGACTCCAAGTGGAGTGATGCTCCGTATGACTCCATCACACGGATTATTTTTTTTTTCGCACACCCATAGATTAGCCTGAAGAATTTTCCATTGTTGCGAACTCGCGACATTGGTCAACATTTCAAAGTCCTGTGCGAAACCATCAATTTCAAGTTCAATTAGGGCCCAGGTCCATCGAAGGATGTCGATCGAGATTTTATGGGGAATTTAATTTTTAGGGGTTAACCAGCCTTCTCGACGCCGATTTCCTGATCCACTTGCAGAATTTTTACCCGGTGACGTTTATTTACACCCTGAAGAGGTACTCTCGGGTCTGGTCGCCGACTTAAATTCTCTGAATATCCTTAGTTCAAGAGCGTGCATCCTCGCATTTGGATCCTTTCCCTGATTTCCCGGCGTCCTTATCCCTTCCTCTCTTCCTCGGATCCTCGCGATCTTCGGGATCGCCCCGATTGACACTTTCGCGTGTCTCGCCTTCGGCGAGATCGGTCCTGGGATAACCTCCGAGTCGGGGAGATCGGCCTCGGATTACCGGAGTCGTGGCACGGCTCCGGATTAAGGACCTTAGATATTAGATTTAGATAGATCGAACTATTTGTATCGTATGGGAGGTTTGGCGCGATCGGGGGCTCTCTCTCTCCTTGTGCCCGATGACTCGTGCCTTTTCTTTCCAGTCCCCGTTTGCCTCGCATCCATCGAGGATCGATGGAAGAAAAAAGGTCCTCGGAGTCCTGGGAGATACCTCGGACCCTGCGGGAGAGGCTGGAGATCCGAGAGTGAACGAACTCGAAGGAAAGAAGAAAAAAAAAAAAAAGGAGCAAGAAAGAAAGAAAAAGGAAGAATTCGTGTAAAAGGAAGAACCTCTCGAATTGATCAAGCCCACGTGACTTCCCCTCGGGATCTGAGAAGTCGATCTCTGGATCGAGTCGATTGGATCGATCGGTAATCTACGATACGTCTCCTGTCCGGGGGGAAACGAAGGAAAATCTCTGGAAAAGGGAGGATCCTGTGATCTCTACCCTATCGGGTGAAGAGAGGCAGTTAAGGGGTGGCTTGTATTGTTTGTTTACCCAACGGCAAAATCCCACCCTAATACTCCTCTAGTGGGATCGGGGGGTCCTGGCAAAAGGTCCCGCAGGAGTGGTTTGCAGGACTCCTGGAATCCGGCGATACCTCTTTTCCCTCCTTTTTCCGGGATTCCTGCGTCTCCACCCTGAAGAAGGCTCGAAAATGGGACGGGTTCCTGGATACGATATCGACGGGTGAAATGTTGCTTTTGGGTTGTTAATATTAAATTATGGCGCGCCATAATTTCACCTGGGGACCGTCTCATCCGGGAACGAGAGAGGAGTCAGACTCGGAGGGGGAAAGATGAAAAAGAACCGCAAATCCGTGGGCAAGCGTAACTACCGCTCGATGCGCCGATCATTCCGCCATGTTGGCTCTGAAAGGGAGAGCGCCATCGGCAGATGTTTCTCCTCTCGTGAGGTAATTCGAGTGTTTGTCCGCTTGCACCAATGCGATCGTCCCCGGCCCTGCCCCGAGCCTTCGATGATATACCCACCTCGCCGGAAAGCATCCCGGGACCCTCCTGGACCGAGAGGCGCCCAATGGGAAACCGAGCGAGTACAGTCCTGCCAGAGATGGGAACGTTCCCATCCATTTCCTCTCCCCAAGTCTGAAGATCCTCTCCAAAAAGTGACATCCGATTTTTCCCCATTTTCCAAGATATTTCAAGATTTTTCGTCAAATCTCCTGGTCCCAGGAGTTCCCATCGGCGAGCCCTGGAAATTCACTCCCTAACCTCACTTTCAAAATTCCCCCGGAAATTCCTTTAATAGCAAGATATAGAAAATCCCCTAGTTCCCCCCTTTATTTTCTCCGGTTAAATTCCGAAATCTTGATTTTAAATTCCCCTAGACGTTTCCAGGTTCCCGGATCTCTTCGCCCGAACGAGCGCTTCTCGAGTCCAGGAACCCTGAGGAATCCAAAGGGTCACGCGAGCGGTCTCGAGAGGAGGCGAAGGGTGCGGCGAAAAGTCTGCCCTGATCTTGATTCCCGAGAAAAATCC